ATGAGCACCACCTTGACCAACCAGGAAACATGCATCGACGGATTCTCACACGACAAACATGATAGGCAGCTTCGTGAATCGCTTATCGCTGGAGAGATCCACGCCGAGAAGTTGTGTAGTATATCATTAGCCATGATCAAGAACATGACCGACACAGATATGGCCAATCAAGTCGAGATCAATGGGCGGAAGTTAAAGGAGGAGGAGGATGACGAATGGCCGGAGTGGTTATCCATTGGTGACAGAAAGCTGTTGCAGTTAGGGACAGTGACGCCTAACGTGATTGTAGCCGCGAATGGAAGTGGTAACTTTACAACGGTTTCTGCTGCCGTGGCTGCTGCTCCGGCTTCAAGCGCAACCAGGTATGTGATTAGGATAGCATCAGGGGTGTACAGGGAAAATGTCAACATTCCTAGTAATAAAAGGAACTTGATGTTTCTGGGTTCCGGAAGAACTTCCACAATAATCACCGGAAGCAGAAGTGTTGCCGGCGGCAGCACCACATTCAATTCTGCAACTGTCGGTATATATATATATCCTAATCTTTATCAGGGTTGTCGATACATATAGTCCGCATTATCAATCTAGCTATAAAACTTGACTCTATTCATTATTTTCCAACTGATTTATGCAGCGGCTGTGGGTGCTGGATTTCTAGCGCGGGACATAACGTTTCAAAACACCGCCGGGCCCTCAGGGAACCAAGCGGTGGCGCTACGAGTCGGATCCGATCTCTCTGCATTCTACCTATGTGACATGATAGCATACCAAGACACCCTTTACGTCCATTCCAATCGTCAATTCTATATCAACTGCTTCATAGCAGGCACAGTCGACTTCATATTTGGCAATGCTGCAGCCGTTTTTCAAAATTGTGATATACACGCTCGTCGTCCTAACCCAAACCAAAGGAACATGATTACAGCTCAAGGCCGAAGCGACCCTAACCAGAATACAGGAATTGTGATACAAAAATCAAGGATAGGAGCGACATCAGACCTTCTACCGGTGCAAGGAAGCTTTCCGACATACCTAGGGAGGCCTTGGAGGGAATACTCGAGGACAGTGGTGATGCAATCAACGATAAGCAACGTGATAAATCCGGCAGGATGGTTTCCTTGGAACGGGGATTTTGCACTTAATACGTTGTATTACGGAGAGTACCAAAACACGGGGGCTGGAGCTGCTACGGCGAATAGAGTGACATGGAGAGGGTACAGGGTGATTAGGGATGCTACGGAAGCTGGAGGTTTTACTGCCGGAAACTTTATCAATGGTGGTAGTTGGTTAAGAGCCACCGGCTTCCCTTTCTCTCTTGGGCTGTGATTTTGTTTGTGTGATCTGGAATAAGTTTTTTGTATCCTAATAATTGAATAAGAGAAGGATCCTATCGGCTACTTGTTAATCCTCTCCCTTGAGGTGTTAGATGGCTAAATGTGTTTTATAAATTACAATACTAGGTTAAAACCTAGTGTAATACAAGGATTGACAACTAAAAATAACAAAATTAATGCATAGTAAGCTAGTTACTGTATAAAAGAACACAATTTAGAAGCTTGATTGATTTTAAGACAATTAAATATTTACTGTATAAAAGAACACAATTTAGAAGCTTGATTGATTTTAAGACAATTAAATATTTTTAATTTTGTCCCTACAAATCTTATCATTATTTAATTGGACAGAGATATTTATAAAAACAAAAAATAAAAAAATATTTAATTTCTCTTGTTTAAAATGTTTGCTGATAATGGCTGTTTATTAAATTAACTAAACCTTAAATGTTTTTTTTCCAAGAAATTTGAAATTGTTTAATTTCCACCAAAAAAACAAAATTAGTATTTTTGTTAGACCTTAAAATTTTATTAGTAAATAAGAAATTGTTTATATAGCATAAAAAGAATTTTCTTTTTTAGATTGAGGTTTGTAAAAAAAAATTTTCGAAACTTATAGATTACTTCACAACTTATAAGTTTCGATGTAGATGTATTTTAGAAAAATGTAAATTTCAACTTTAAAAACTTTTAGTCATTTTTGTTTTTTTTAAAAAAAGTTGTCAAAATGTTAAATATGATTCAATAAAGTGGTTATTTTAGTAAATATCCAAAATGGTTAAATGCCTCAAGAGTTAATAAAAACTTATTAATTATTTACTTTATATCACATTGATCATGTGGTTCTTTATTTTCTCCATAATCTTCCAAAAAAAAAAATTAGATACATACGGTAATTTTTTTTAGGAGAAGGCAAATCATATATAATAAAGATCAAAACTAGCCAAGTAAAATATTAAGCTCGTTATAAATTTAGAATGAAGAAACACTCCACTCCACCCATTTAATTTCTTTTTTCTTACCCTTATGCTTTAACCAAATAAAAACCAGAGATTTGATATTATCAGCAATAAATGTTGATGATATGGATCTTTGATTACAAACATGCGATTATCATATATATATATATGTATATTAAGTTTGCTTCTTTTTAGTTGGAAACCACAAAGATTTTCTTTAATTAGTAACAAAAGCAAAAGCATTATATGGCAATCATTCTTCTTACATAACTATTTCACGGAAGTAACTATATAAAACTTTTGTGCAACATACACGTTTTAAAATCGTGTTTTGTAATGAAAAATATTATGAAATATTATATGGTTTTGAGTATTGAGTTCTAACAGATAATTTTTACTAGAAATAAAGTAAAACTATGTTTAGAATCACTCAGAAAATATTGAAAGTCTTATGAGATTCCAATCTAATATCAAATATCGAAAATTAACGAAAATATAAAATTTGAAATAATTAAAATTTTATTATTGAAAGTTGTAGAGAATCTTGTTAGAAATATTTAGGCGAAAACCTTATCAAAATCCGAGTTATAACGAAAAAGTTATGACTATTTGAAGTTTCGCGACAGAACCGGTACGACGCCGAATAACGTAAAAAGTGAGTTTTCGATAAACTACTTTTTAGCCCTTATAATCTAAATGAAAGTCGTAGTATTCGTTAAACCGAAAATTTTCATAAAGAGAACGTCAAAATCTGACTTCGTATGAGGAAGTTATGATTTTTCTAAGTTTCGGTATAGCAGTAGACAACTAAAAACTCGAAATAAAGATCTAGTGATTTTTAGCCAACATAACCTAAACGAGAATCGAATTTCTCGTAAATAGTAGTATAATAGTAAAAAGACAGACGCAAACGGACGCCAGATGAAGAAGTTATGAATTTTTAAGAGACTTATTTTGTCTCAACTTGTTAAAAATATAATAATAAAAATAAAGTCAAAATTAGCCGACGGAGTCTAAACGAAAGTTGTAGAGTATATTCTCACCTACGTGTGGATATAAAGAACTTAAAAAACAGAGTTTGTATGCAAAAGTTATGAATTTTCGAAGTTTTTAAATAAAAATAAATGAAAATCCGAAGCCTTATTCGAGGGGGTATGCCCAGCGTACTTCGTACGCCCAACGTTCGTATATGGGGTCAGAAGCTAGCCACATCCCTCTCTCTCTCTTCGCACGAGGCACACATATGGAATAATATTGCCACGTCCGAGACCCGGGTTCCGATTAGAGGACACACCTCGCATGTACGCCCCGCGTACTGAGCCGCCTCGTAGTACGCCCAACATACAGCGAGACTACACCCCGCGTACTCAACAGCTCTGGTCCCCTATAAATAGAGACCGAAGGTCTCCAGAATTGTGTTACAAATTCTCATTCTCTTTCACTCTCTATCATCTCTCAAACCCCTCTAACACCCCTGAAGTCCCGATATCATACCCGACATCCGAAGCAAGTCTCGACACTCCAAAGTTCCCGAGAAAATTATATTTTCAAGTCAAAACTCTGCCCATGTAAGGCCGGTTTTCAACAAAATCTCCGGTTTCATCACGGAAAGTCATATTTTAAAGTCGAAGTGCTGCCCAAATTAATATTTTAACCCCAGTTATTTCAAAGTGAGTTTCAATATAGGGACAATTGTATGTTTTGTGTTATATGTTCAATGTGCTTTCCCATGTTATTATGATAATGAGTTATACCTTAGGCCACGAAGTGTATGACATAAGCATCACTTGGGTACTGGTATGTAGCCTTTGGCCATGAAGTGTATGACATATGCATCACTTTGGCATAACAGAATACAAAGACATGGCTAAAAGCCTGTGTATTCTAGTGAAATGATATTCTGAAATTATATTTTCTTCGCCATTTGGGCTGAAGTCTTATTGGTGTATATCAAGTGTTGGAAAATTGTGATGTCTTATTGATTTCAAATCTTTGAATTTGATTATTCTTTGTTATGGAAAGCATGTCATATGATACTCATTTACCTATCTTGTTACTTGTCCCTCTTTGCTTCTGTCATATTGATATGTGATGTGTGTGAACTCAACTAGTTTTAAATCTACTTTTAATTATAAAATAAACACACAAAGGCAGTGGACCTATCAATTGTGGTAAAGCTAAATAAGTAGGGTATCGAACACAGGGAATGGTAAATTAAAACTAAAAACTAATTTTATCTAAATCTAAATAATAAAAGGGGTTTTCTTTAGTTTTACAAGACTAGAAACTTACTAACTATTTCTTAAAATAAGAACTAGAAAAGAAAAGATTTAACTAAATTCAGTAACGGGAAGGACTTCTGTTTAGTTCAAATCAATTGATCATATGGTTGATATTATGGTAATAGTGCAATGGATTAATTCTTCTATTGGCTACCGATTCAAATGATTAGCTTCGCATTCGCTGCACTAATCCTTAGGGAACAAACTAACTCAAACAATGATCAGTTGTCTAATTTAATTTAATTACTAGGTTATTTATTCGGGTTAATTTAGACTTGTAATAGCTAACTAATTTGGTCCTTTAGTTACCCTCTTGTTGATGGTCATCACACAAGCTCACACATGAATTTACCTATTTTTCTATTAATTCTAGTTTCACAGTCGCTAATCCTAGTCATATAACAAAGTGGTCACATAAATTATATGAGGTAGCAATTAAGAGATGTTCATACAACTTAATTAACTTCCTGATAACAGAAAAATAGTTTTCAATCACACATGAGGTTCTTTAACAAGATAGAATCAACAAAATCACCAATATTAAATCAATCCTACCATAAATAATCAATCCATAGTATCAACTTTGTCTCCCTAAACAGAAGTTTAAAGGTTTTAGCTCATGATTGAGGTGATTAACAGCATAAAAACGAAATCTAAGAGTCTAAACATAATGAAGAACAATAGATTAGAGTAAGAATGATGTAAATTTGCCTCAAATCTCCTTTGGAATTGGTTTTAGGGTTGTATCTTCGTTCTTCAACTCTCTCCTGACTCTGATTCGTAGCTTGCTTCTCCCTAAGGGTTCCAGAATATCGAATGGCGATCTGGGCAGCCGTTTTTATAGATGCGAACCGACTCGCCGAGTCCATCACTTGATTCCCGTGCACGGTAAGTCACAAAGTCTTTATCTTCTCGATTCTTCGATCGGATTCGCCGAGTGGTCGACCCTACTCGCCGAGTAGATGTTGTTTTTGGTGGTTTTCCTCTTTGTTTAATTCCCGAGCTCCCAACCGCTTCTCCTGCTTCCTTTTGCTTCCAAGCTTTACCTTTGGACTGAAAACATCATTCAAACACTTTTAAGTATCTTTTGTCCATGATATGCAATAAATTAGCTAATAAATGATAAAATTCTATGCTTAATATAAGACTAAATATGCAAATATCAAAATACCCCACACTTGAATTTTGCTTGCCCCCAATCAAAACTGAATTTTAACACATTAGAATCATATATGACAACTCCAATCGAACCCAGCCATTATGCCAAGACCGCAACGCATGCATTTGTGTCTAAAATTTTTCCTAAGGACCCCCATACTCCAAATACTCGCAATCCTCATAAACATTCGCCCACTTATCTCGAACAATGCTCATTTTATGCATCCCTCCGAATCCATCCGCAGAAAACCTCATACCCTCAAGGTATTTTTGGTTGAGCAACCCAAGCATACATAATCTAGACAATTACAATTTATGATACCACTATGGAGCTCTTTTGAATTCTTCGCTTCTTTGACATTTGATCTTTAATTTCTTTGAATTCACCGTATTGTTGTTTGATTTTTGGTATCTTCAACTTTTGAATTTCTTCAGAATTTTCGATCTTTGAACTTCATACTTTAACTTTGATGCTCCAAAAATTCTTCAAACTTTTTCTTGTAATTCTCTCTTTTTTTTACATGTAACTCACTTTTTTCACTCAAAACCCTACATGCTTAAGCAGGAGCGCTCAACTTCAACCTTTATTGGTT